TAATTCGAAAATATTTTCTTTCGAAATTTCACGTTTTCTTGTAAATAAATTTAACTCTAAATCAGAATTTATTTTTTCGAAATTAATTAACTCTTTCTGTTCAGCGTTTATTTAAAAAAAAAAAAAACTTGGCGATTATCTTTATTTTTGAATTTATTGATAAATAAATAAGGGATTCCCCCCCTACCCTGCACATGCCACCATGCCAAACCAAGAACTCCCAACGTGCCGCCGCCGCCCCGCCGCTGCTACCGCCGCCACCTCTGCTGCGGCACCCTCCACACCCGTTCAGGCCACGTCCTCTACCCCCTCTTCCCCTGACATGGCCGCATCCTCCATCAACATGTCTGACATCCGCACCGACTCAGTTGATAGCATCGCCCGCAACCTCGCAGGCGAACAACCACCAGCAAACACCGCCACCCTCGACCTTTCCACCATCCTCCACGCACTCAACACCATCCGAACCTCCGTCACCGCCTCTCTCGACGACATAAAGACCAACATGTCGTCCATATGCGATCGCGTCACCACACTCGAAGGGACCATCCCCTCCATCATGGTCGTCACCACCCCGCAAACCACTCCCTCCTCCACAGTGCAAACCACTCCGACCTCCACAGTGCAAACCACTCCCTCCTCCACAGCCGCCTCCAGCAACACCCCCCCGCCGACCTCCTCCACTCCTACCACCTCTACCACCACATCCATCAACCCTTCAACCTCCACCATCGTCCCGTTCCCTCCACCTCCTCCCTYATCCGRCGCATCCAGCACACCGCCTCATTCCTCGCCCATCCATGTCACCCCTCTCCCCTCCCCGCACTCCCAAACCCTCTCCCAACCCATCATGACCACCTCCTCCATCCCCACCATCCATCCCACCTATTCCCAAACCACCTCGGGGGTTTACCCCGCAATGCCACAACTCCCCCCCAACCACCTCCTTGAGGACAACAACCAAATCGACCACACCTGCTACGACACCACCCCCGATAACCTCAGCTTCAACACCCTCTCGCAGATCGTTCACCGCGACGGGGAAATCCCCCGTTCCTTCCTATCCGCCGAAATCATGTCCTTCTCCGGCCTCCCCCACGAGGACGTTTTCCTCTTCCTAACCCAGCTCCAAAACTCTTTTCACCTCCACCACATGCCCCTTGCCCACTGGCTCCCCATTGCCACCTCCCGCCTCCTCGGCAATGCCGCCAAATGGTGGATGGCTGAAGTCAGCAACCGCCGAGCCTCTGGAGGACCACGTCACTCCTTCCTCCAATGGGCCAACTTCCGCCCCCAGAAAACCATTGACGAATACCTCGAACAATTCTGCCACCTCCGCCAAACCGATCCCACAGACCGCTTTGTCCAATACATCCGCTCCCTCCGCCATCACCTCCCCACCACCGTCATTCCCGACTTTTCGTTCATCTCCCGCATCAAGCGAGTATGCCACAAAGATCTTGCCACCGCCCTCGCCCACGAACC